TGGATTATAGAGACATTGACAAATTTATATGTCTTTCTGGTGGCCATGTGACATGTAATACCTTTATCTATCAGTTTGCTTCTTCAGATCTACCTCTCATTCCTAAGTACCAGGAAACTGGAGCAAATCCCACCTGAGTACCAACCCCAATACCAATCATTGGTGGTCCATGGAGGGTTATATTTTTATTACTTATCAGCAAAAAAATTATTTTTCAGAGTATTATGTTGGCTTCTTCAGATCACAAGATTCAACCCATTAGACTTTCAACAAAGAAAATAAACATCTTACTCTCAAATCATGGGATAAAATTCTTAAATAATTGGACAAATTTGAACTGTGTGGCAGGAAGAGGTTATAAAGAAAGCAAAAGATGGGGGAGGTAGGATTGGCAGTAGATTTCCCAAAATCTATTTCTTGTCTCTGAAAAACTTTTATTTATTTATTTTTTACTTTTTATTTTTTTAAGTGAGAAAGCAGATTTATTGAGAGGAGAGAGACGCTCCTCCCCTGAAAAACTTTTAAACATCTCATCAACAAGAGTACCTGCACAACAAACATTTGTATACCTAACTCTAAACTGTACCTCACATCTTTAAAAATTCTTTGTCTCACCATGGAAGAAAGTCCCCTTCTGCCGGGCTCAGTGGCTCAGCCAGTAATCCCGAGCTTTGGGAGGCTGAGATGAGTGAATTGCCTGAGCCCGCAGGTTCGAGACCCACCTGGGCAACTCGGCAAGACCTCATCTCTACAATAAATCAAAAAAACTAGCCAGGCGTGGTAGCGCGCACCAGTAGTTCCAGCTAGCGGAAGGCTGAGGCGGAAGGATCGCCGGAGCCCGGCAGGTCGAGGCTGCGGTGGCTGGGAGCGTGCCACTGCACTCCAGTCTGGGCAACAGAGTGAGACTCCAACTGAAAAAAAAAAAGGAAAGTCCCCTTCTGCCTAAACTTTACGATGCTCTCAAATCCTACAGAGGGTGCTTTCACCTGACAGCAATACTCCTCTGCCATAAAGTTCACCCTTTATTTCCATAACCGTAGCCTAGAAGAACTACCTGGGCCTTTATAATTTCCCTTTGCAAGATCAGGACTAACAACTTGTTAGAATCTCTGGGCCAGTGTGTCTGGTTCCCAGTTAAGGTTGTTTTAGTATTTTTTTATTTTAAGTCTGAGTCTCACTCTGTCATCCAGGCTGGAGTCCAGTGACATGCTCAAGGCCACCGCAGCCTCGACCTGCTGGGCTCAGGTGATCCTTCTGCCTCAGCCTTTCAAGTAGCTGGAACTACAACGAATGTCACCATGCCAGGCTAATTTTTTGTGCTCATAGAGACCAGGTCTCACCAAGTTGCCCAGACTGGTCTCGAACCCCCAGGGCTCAAGCAATCGTCTCGCCTCAGCCTCCCAAAGTGCTGGGATTACAGGCTGAGCCACCCAGCCCAGCCATTCACTTAGTTTTAAATGAGAAAACATCCAGTGCAAAATCTCTCAAATTCAGCGTTCATGTTTATGAATGGTAGGAAATTGTAAGGCACTTCCAATTCCAATCATACCTCATCAGAAAAAGTATGTATCGCTCAGACAATAAACATGTTATTACTTCCATGACAACAAAGCATTTTATAAACAATCATATGTGAAACCTTCTATTAGTTGCCAAGTTTTTTCATGTAAAATTTAGCATTAAACTCTAACACCTAGAAAATAAAATAGATACCCAGTGTCCAAAGTCTTCACTCACCCCCCAAAAGAACAGATGTTTTTATATATCTATGTAATTCATTAATTAATCTACCACACTTTTTTGTGGAAATGGATTGATTTTCCACAGCCATAATGAGAAAGAATTTTTTTCTATTTCTTTTCTCCCCTAGTATTTCCAAAGTAATGCCCTGGGATTCTAAAATCACACTAAAACAGAACAGATCTCAGAATCTTCACTCTGCAAAATAAAAAACATAAATAAACTTTTTAAATAAATGGAATACAAAACTAGATATTTTATTTTATCCTGAAATCTATTTCTTACCTCTTAAAACTTTTTAAGCCTTTCAACCCCAACTGATAAAATACATTTTACAAGGCTGGGCACAGTGGCTCAAGCCTGTAATTCCAGCACTTTGAGAGGCCCAGGCAAGAGAATTGTCTGAGCCCCTGGGTTTGAGACCAGCCTGGGCAACGTGGTGAGATCTCGTCTCTACAATTAAAAAAAAAAGAAAAAAGCCGGGCTAGGTAGCACATGCCTGTAGTTCCAGCTACTTGGAAGGCCGAGGAGGAAGGATCGCCAGAGCACAACAGGTCGAGGCTGCAGTAGCCAGTAGCTGTGAGCACGCCACTGCATTCCAGCGTGGGTAGCTGAGTGAGACTCCAACTCAAAAAAAAAAAAAAAAAATTTTAGGTTAACAAAGAACTAAACCTGAAATAAGTGAATGATTTTTTTCAAGGTGACAAACCCAGGGAGGGGGAGTGCTGACTGACAAACAGACATGCCCAAATCAAGTTCTGTCCCTTGGGACATTCCTCCACCCCATCTTGCTCATGAAGTGCCTGTTGACTACCCTCTCAGGAGACACTGCAGTTGCTCTCCTGTGTTCCTGAGGTACTTTGCTTTGTGCATTCTTCCATTATCTCCCTGGGATTGGTTTTCCTTGTACTTTGGGATAGTTTTTCTCCCTTCACAAATGGAAGATAATCCAGGGGACCAGATGTTTCTGCCTTTTCCCCTCAAGACCAGCAATGTGTCTGAAAATGTATGGAAACCAGTTGTTAGTTAGACTGGCTTACAAAATTCTTGTAAATTACTTAGAAAAAACAAATTTAAATTTAACTAACCACAAGTGTAACATTGAAATGTCAGGCCAGGCGCGGTGCTCAGTCTGTAATCCCAGAACTTTGGGAGGCCGAGGTGAGAGGACTGCCTGAGCCAAGCGGGGGTCCGAGGCCAGCTTGGACAACTTAGTGAGACCTCATCTCTACAAAAAAAAAAATCATAAAAACTAGCTGGGCATAGCCGGGCTGGGTGGCTCTGCCTGTAATCCCGCACCTTGGGGAGGCTGAGGTGAGTGGATTGTCTGAGCCCACGGGTTCGAGTCCTGCCTGGGCAGGTGAGACCTCATCTCTACATTAAATCAAAAAATTAGCCGGGCGTGGTAGCGCACGCCTGTAATTACGGCTACTCGGAAGGCTGAGGCGGAAGGATCACAGGAGCCCAGCCAGTCGAGGCTGCGGTGGCCGGGAGTGGCCACTGTACTCCAGTCTGGGCGACAGAGTGAGACTCCAACTCAAAAACAAAAAAACTAGCTGGGCATAGTGGCTCGTGCTTGTCGTTCCAGCTACTTGGAAGGAGGAGGCAGAAGGATCACCTGAGCCCAGTCAGTGGCCATAAGCATGTCCCTCCACTCCAGCATGGGCAACAAGAAAGAGACTCCAACTAAAAAAAAAAAAAAAAAATTAGATTTAACCAACCCCGAATGAAACAGTGAAATGTCAAAAGATTAACAAAACTAACTTCATTTTGCAGGGGAGAACCTCTGGCCTCTTTTTGTGCTTGCATGTAGCTAAAGTCATTTTGAAATGCTGAAAAGGTAGGCGCAAGTATGTGGCTGTGCAGAAAAACTCTGGGAAAGTGGGGTTTATATACGCCCTAAGTCTTTTGGTTTTTTTTTTTTGGTTTTGTGTGTGTGCATTTTTTGTTTGGTTTTTTTTTGAGTAAGCAGGATTTATCCAGAGGACAGAGAAGATCCCACAGTGGGAGGAAACCCGAAGGGGTTGCTCACCTTTTGTTAAATAGGGAACAAGGAGATGTTTTTTTCTAAGCTTTGTCTCCCGCCCCTACCTTGGGAAAGTGAATCTCCCCTTCTCTCTCCCTCCATTTTACTTTCTTTTTTTCTCCCTTGCGAATCTGTTTTATTGTTTCCTTCTCTTTTTCCTTTCTTTTTTTAAAATTTTATTTTAAAGATGTGGGGTACGACTCAGGGTTAGGTATACAAACGTTGATTAGGCAGGCACCCTTGTTGATGAGGCGTATCCCTCCCTCCCCTAGCGGTATCCGACAACTGCCAGTCCCACCCCCCACCCCCACCCGGCAGTTTCCAACTACTCCCACTCAATTTGCTTTCTAAATAAACTATATTTTCCAATCTCAGAAAACAAATAAGAAACAAAGAGACCATGAGCCAGGGCCAGAGCCAAAGCCAAAGAGAACTCACGACTTTCCAAGACTCCCCCCTGGCACCCAGATGTCTGCAGGTCTAAACCATCTCTGGATCTCGGCCCCCCTCTGCCCCCCAGCCTGGGTAAAACTCAAAAAAAGCAAACACGACCCAAGAGAGGTCTTCAGGACGCCGGCCCCACCTCTTCCCGGTTTTAATGGCCCTCCTAAATAAAGTCACAGCCCCTGCTCCATCTCCCTGTCTCTACTTTTAGGCTGCCCTGCAGCGAACAGAACCGGGCTCGGACCTGGGAACACGAACGGCCAATGACCCCGATGACGGCACGTCCTGGGGATTTCCACCTGGATCTTCCCGATCAGGAGACTGCGGGGCTGTCCCCCACCAGCCCCTGTCCGTGGCCGGCTTCCCCTGCCCCTTCTCCAAGTCTTTCCCCCCAGGTACTCCGGGGACCCCACGCCACGAGCCCTGGCTGGGGTTTCTGGACTCACGACCCGATGTTGACCCAAGGGGACCCAACACTGTGATGAAGCCGCCGTTTAACCTTGGGAGGGAGAGAGGGACGGGGGCCAGGAACACAGTCCCTCACCCCCCGGGGCCCGCACGGGGATCGGATCCTCCCCGCGCCCCTCCCGGGTCCCGAACACCTAGAAGAGCGGGGTTATGTGGAGTGGGTTCAACGGGTGAGGTCGCCGCGGAGACAGAATCCCGAGGTCCCGGCCTAGCCTCACGACCCCGGCGCGGACGGGTCCAGGCTCGGAGTGCCCGGTCCCGCCACAGTCGGGTTATCCAAGTCCATCCTCACTCCCCATCTCGCACCAGCCCCCATACTCACCACCTCCCAGCTTCCGGGTGTGCCGGTGTCCTCCCTGCCGACCTCCTAAGGACTGCAGGCCACAGGACTGAAGCTACGGCACAACCACGGCGACTTCGAGAAGAGAAGGAAAAAGTAGCGGTAACGACCCAACTCTGTGCGCAGGCGCAGATGACAAAAGGTCCGGTCAGCGCTCCGAAGCCGCCCCCTCACTTCCGGCGCCAATATGATTGGATAGTTCCCACCACAGCATCCGTTGGTTGGATAAGGATTCAAGGCCCACCCCTCTGGCTTTGAGTGGCAGGAGATGCAATCAGGTGGGGTCAGCATGTCAAGAAAATCAGGTTCAACCGGCTGGGTGGCTCAGCCTGTAATCCCGTGCCTTTGGGAGGCTGAGGTGAGTGGATTGCCTGAGCCCGCGGGTTCGAGACCCGCCTGGGCAACTTGGCGAGACCTCGTCTCTACAATAAATCAAAAAATTAGCCTGGCGTGGTAGCGCATGCCTGTAATTCCGGCTACTCGGAAGGCTGAGGCGGAAGGATTGCCGGAGCCCAGCAGGTCGAGGCTGCGGCGGCCGGGAGCGGCCACTGCACTCCAGTCTGGGCGACAGAGTGAGACTCCAACTCAAAAAAAAAAAAGAAAATCAGGTTCTTGCATGCAGCAACTTGAAGTTGAGAGTCCTTCCTTCACCACCACCTGGTCATGAATGGGGACATTCGCTTTGACATTGTTTATAACAGTATATTCATTTATGAATAATATGCATACAGCACATACAGGAATATGCTATTCACAAAGGGAAAAATATAATAATTATTTTAAGCTTTACATTGTATAATCTTCCTGGATTTTGGTCTTAGGAAGAGGTAGCCTGAGCTTTGAGAAGGGAGGCCGTTTTTTCAGGCAGCATTTCCAAGAGAAAGAAAATGTGAGCCACACGTGTCATTTAACATGTTCTCTAGTTCTGTGTTGAGTTGTGGCCGAGTGTAACGGGTGTACAATAAATCATCTCTTCTGCTGTGGACATGTGTGTAATTCCTGTTTGGGGCTATTATAACTAAAGGGTCCATGCATATGCTTGAAAAATACACTTTGCATTAAATTCAATTATTTTATTAGGTTTAAATGTTCCCTCTTTGTATTTATAGTGCTTGCCCCAGGGACTACAGTATGCATCTATAACATATCATAATCTACTTATAGCTAAAACTGTATGTAAAATATGAAATCTTTGCTTCAAAACTGCTCAATTTGCCATATTCTATCTTCTGTGGTACTTTTATAAATTAACTGAGAATCTAAAATAAAATGTTCTAAGCTGGGTGTGGAGGCTCACGCCTGTAATCCCCACCACTTTGGAAGGCAGAGGTGAGAGGACTGCCTGAGCCCAGGGATTCGAGACCAAGCCTGGGCAACTTGATGAGACCTCGTCTCTACAATAAATCACAAAATTAGCTGGGCATGGTGACACATGCCTGTAGTTCCGGCTACTTGGAAGGTTGAGGTGGAAGGATGACCTGAGCCTAGCAGGTGGAGGCTGGGGTGGCCGTGAGCGTGCCACTGCACTCCAGTCTGGACAACAGAATGAGACTCCGACCCAAAAAATAAAACAAAATAAAATAAAATGTTCCAGTAGCCACATTTTGAAAAAGAAACAGAAGCAAATTGTGATAAATTACTTAATCCAATATATTTAAAATATTATCATCTTAATATGAAATCAGAAAAATGATTAATGAGGCTTATTTGGGGAACTATATCCTCGAAAATCCCTCTGTACTTTTGCTTCCAGTATGTCTCGGTTTAGACCAGTTTGTTCCAGCTAATCAGTAGGCCCAAGCCACCCATGGCTGCCACATGGACATGCACCTAGAAGGTCTTTGTATTGAATCCCATCTCAGGGAGGTGAAGGACCTGAACCACACTTTTCTGCCAGAAGTAAATGCCCCTTTCCTTCCATCATTTCTCCGGGGCCCAAGGGTGGGAGAGAAGACGCCTGAGAGAAAGCAGGAGCTACAGGCAGAAGTGTCCACGGGTAGACTACTGCCTCACATCTGCATTTTGTTTGGTTTTTGTTTTGGGGTTTTTTTTTTTGGTTTTTTTGAATTGGAATCTTCCTCTGTCATCCAGGCTGGAGTATGTGGCACGCTCATGGCCACTGCAGCCTCGACCTGCTAGATTCAGAAGATCCTTTTGTCTCAGCCTTTCAAGTAGCTGGAACTACAGGCACACACCCAAGTAGCTGGAACTACAGGCACACACCACCATGCCTGGCTAATTTCTTAATTTATTGTAGAGACGAGGTCTCTCAGGCTGGTCTCAAACCTGTGGGTGGGCTCAGGCAATCCTCTCACCTAGGCCTCCTAAGGTGCTGGGATTATAGGCGTGAGCCACCACGCCCAGCCCACATCTCCTTCTTTGAGACCCACGTACCCTCTAAGGATCAGACAGCGAACCAAGGACATCAAAACACACACATCTTAATCTTACAATTTTGAAAAAGAAATAAACCTATACAAACTCCCCTCTTTTAAGAATATAATATTTCCATTATTTCCAGAAAATACCCCTGTATTTCTTGTCAGGGAGTTTTTTCTTCTCCCAGAGACAAAATACTGTTGATTTTTTTTAAATCATAGGTTTATTTTGCTTGAAATTATATAATAGATATTATTTTATGTCTTGTGTCACTCAGCACAATCCTGATGAAACTCACCAGAGTGTGTGCTTTGGTAGTGTGCTCTCTTGAATTGCTGAGTAGTGTTCTATCGTATGAAAGCTCTACAACCTGTTCATCTATTTTCCTATGATGGACATGTGTGTAATTCCTGTTTGGGTCTATTATAACCAAAGGATCCATGCATATGCTTGGAAAGTACACTTTACATTAAATTCAATTATTTTATTAGGATTTAAGTGTCCCCTCTTTGTATTTATAGTGCTTGCTTCAGGCATTACAATGGCATCTATAACGTATCATAATCTACTTAGAGATAAAACTGTATTATAAATATGCAAAATATAAAATATTTGCTAGAAAACAGTCCGATTTGCCTTATTCTATCTTCTGTGGTACTTTTATAAGTTTTAAATATACGTATTATAGATATGAAAACGCAGTATTACAATTTTTGCTTTAGTCATAGGTCTTTTTTAAAAATTAAGAGAAAAAATGTTATAAATTTTTAAAAAGAGATATTTGGAGGGAGCCCAGCAAGTTGAGGCTGTGGTGGCCAGGAGCACACCACTGCACTCCAGCCTGGGCAACAGAGTGAAACTCCAACTCAAAATAAATAAATAAAACAAAAAGTGTGTATATGGCAAAAACGTGGGGAGGCAAGGCTGCCAAGATACGGATTTTGAAGACATTCAAGAGCTAACAGGTCCCACACCAGAGGAATTAATGACAGATAACTTGATGGAGACAAGTGCTTCCAACCCTGAGCCAGGTGATGGGGAAAAAAGAGACAGAGAAGAAGCTGGGTGTGGTAGCTGATGCCTATTAATCTCAGCACAAGTACAAGGAATGACTGAGTCCAGGTATTCAAGGCCAACCTGGGCAACTTGGCCAGTCCTTGTCTCTACAATAAATCAACAAGGTGTGGTGGCTCAAGCCTGTAATCCCAGCACTTTGGGAGGGTGAGGTAAGAAGACTATCTGAGCCCAGAGGTTTGAGATCAGTCTGGGCAATTTGGTGAGACTTTGTCTCTACAATAAATAATAAAAAAAAATTAGCCAGGCATGGTGGCATGTTCCTGTAGTTCCAGTTACTTGGAAGGCTGATGCAGGATCACCTGATCTCAGCTGGTTAAGACTGTAGCAGCTATGTGCATGCCACTACACTCCAGCCTGGGCAACAGGGTGAGACACTAACTCAAAAAATAAATACATACATACAGGCATATATTAATTTATTAACTAAATCGATAAAATGGCTGGGTGTGATCCACAAGCATGTTATTCCAGCTACTCGAAAGGCTAAAGGGGAGGGATTGCCTAACTCCAGAAGGTCAAGGCTACAGTAGCCATGAGCATTCCCCTGCACTCCAACCTGGGCAAAAGAGTGAGATTCTGCCTCAAACACACACACACACACACACGCAAAAGAGTGAGATTCTGCCTCAAACACACACACACACACACTCATCAGTGCCAGACAACAATTCAGCATTAGACAAGTTGGCAGAAGGGCTCTTATTATTGGAGATTGCTGTTGACTTCTTTTATAACCTGGACTCTTCTACAATACAACGTGACAACTAAAGCCAATAGTCCAAGTAGAATTGGTGCCATATAGAAACATTTCTAGAGAAATGAAAATGTTAAACCGTCAGATAAAAATTAAGATGTGCTTCCGTAAAAGCTACACCAAGTATCCTGCCTCTCCTTCCTCCCCATGACTTCTACCTCTGCCATCCTAGACGGCAAGACCAGCCCATCATCTTCCACCTTATCCTCAGCTTCTCATTGCGAAGGAGGCAAGGATGAAGAATTTTAGAAGGATCCACTTTCATTTCATGAATAGTAAAGATATTTTTTCCTTCTTTATTATTTTTTTTCTCTTGGATTCAAAGGATACCTGTGCAGGTTTGTTACATGGGTAATGTTTGTTACATTGTGTAATGGTGAAGTTTGGACTTTTTTTGTTTTTTGAGTCGGAGTCTCACTCTGTCGCCCAGGCTGGAGTGCAGAAGCATGCTCACAGCCACTGCAGCCTCGACCTGCTGGGTTCAGACAATCCTTCCACCTCAGCCTTCCAAGTAGATGGAACTATAGGATGCGCCACCATGCCCTGCTTTATTTTTTGATTTATTGTAGAGACAAGGTCACACCAAGTTGCCCAGTGCTGGGATTACAGGCTTGAGCCACAGTCCCCAGCAGTTTGCACTTCTGTTGAAGTCATCACTCAGTGAAGATGGTGCCTGATAGGCAGTTTTTCAACCCTTGCCTCCCGCTCCCCCTTCATGAGTTCCCAGTGCCTATCATCTTCATCTTTATGACTGTGTTTACTCAGTGTTTTGCTCTCACTTATACATGAGAACATGCAGTATTCAGTTTCTTTCTTGGTCAACTCACTTACATTATTTTAAAAATATTGTATATAAAACACACAACATACAAAGTATGTTAATAGATTGTTTATGTAGAATGCATGTGTAGAATCAATGTTTCATCACTCTGGATATTTTCAGTCTTTTTTTTTTTTTTTTTTGAGTTGGAGTCTCACTCTGTCACCCAGGCTGGAGGGCAGTGGCACACTCCAGGTCACTGTAGTCTCAACGTGCTGGGTTCAGGCAATCCTTCCATCTCAGGCTTCCAAGTAGCTGGAATTACAGGCACACACTACCAAGCCCGGCTAATTTTTGATTTATTGTAGAGATGAGGTCTCACCAAGTAGCCCAGGCTGGTCTCGAATATGCAGGCTCAGGCAATCCTCTCACCCAGGCCTCCCAAAGTGCTGGGATGACAGGGGTGAGCCACGTGCCTGGCCTGATATTTTCAGTCTTACCGAGAGTCACAAACTCACCCTAAGAGAAATATTTATTTCTAATTAGGGAACATTTATTACACACCAAGCACCGTCTTATGTTTACTTTGAGGAAATGTCTAAACATAACAAAAGCCAAAATAACCCCTTAACTTATGTCTCCCGAATTTTGTTTTGTTTTTTTGAGTTGGAGTCTCAGTCCATCGCCCAGGCTGGAGTGTAGTGGCACACTCACGGCCACTCCAGCGTCGACCTACTGGACTCCAGCGATCCTTCTGCCTCAGCATTCCAAGTAGCCGGAACTATAGATGTGCGCTTCTACACCCAGTTAATTTATTAATTAATTTATTTATTTATTGAGAAATGAGGTCTCACCAGGTTGCCCAGGCTGGCTGGTCTCAAACCCACGGTTTCAGGTAATCGACTCGCCTCGGCTTACCAAAGTGCTGGAATTACCAGCTAGACGACCAAGCCCGGCCCCAAGTTTTCACCTGAACAAATTGGCCCAGTAAAGTCAATAAAAATCAATTTGTTAACCGTACAAAGTGGAAGGAACCATAACACCAAAATATCTTCAATGGTATCTGCCAATTGTAAAGAAAAAAATAAAAGGTACGAGTTAAAATCTAACTAATTACACTCACAGTGAATTACTTTTATCTTCATAGTTCGTTCTAAACTTCATTTTAAAAACTCCTTGAAATTTTAATGTAGGCCAAATAATGAACACTTTCTGAATGTGGGACAGTGAATCCTATATAGTAAAAAAGAGGATTTCTATAGGGAGATTCTGAACCAGAAGCCATTACATTTTAGTGGAATAAATTCAATATGAATCAGAGAATACAGATTTACTTTCATATTTTAAGTTATTTATTTTGTTCCAATAATGTCCTTTCCTACTTAAGGTAGGCACACATTAACACACACACAAACACATCTTCTTCCCTAGTTTTCTTACGCATAAAGCTTTAGAGTGATATATCTGTACATTTTACTTAATGCAAATTAAAACTAAAAGTCTGAATCCGTATTACAGGCTGAGAGTACAATGCATACATAAAAATATATGTTTTTACAACAGTCAGACTTCAGAAAGGTATGCCTTATGATTATACTCCAGTATAATCTTCATTGCAATCATCAAAATGACCCAACTGTAAAAAAATAGAAAATAAATAAAATATATACTATGGGAAAAAGGATCACTAGAGACTTCATTCCATAAGTTACTCAATAGTATATGACTATCAGCATTTACCTACAATCTTGAGTGAGATGGGATAGGTTAACACTAGTGGCAGAATAACACTTCATTCTGTGCACAACAGTCTTTGACAACTTATAAACAATTCAGTTTAGCTGGGTTCAGTGGCTCAGCCTGTAATCCCACACCTTTGGGAGGCTGAGGTGAGTGGATTGCGTGAGCCCGTGGGTTTGAGACCCGCCTGGGCAGGCGAGACCTCATCTCTACAATAAAATCAAAAAATTAGCCGGGCGTGGTAGCGTGCGCCTATAGTT